GGGGTTAAGTCTGATTTGGTTAAACCCCCTTCGTAGTACAGGCCACAGGTCAAGATCTTACTTGCCCGGGGAACACGCATTAGAAACATGAGCTAATGTGGTTACATCAAGCACCTGTTGCAAATGTTCTAGGAGCAACGCTACCTTATACATGACAAAATCCTCGCTCGCAACGTTACTTTCTACCTGATGGAGCAGAGAGGATATTTCTTGCTTATATATTGCTCTAAAATACATTCTGAAGTGAGGTAGTAGCCTATTAACAGGGGCACGGTTGAGATATAGTGGCTGTCGCCTCAATTAGACCTTAAGCAACTGTCTGTCGTGTTTGCATTTCAAGGTGGCACACAATCTACTCCATATATACACACTCATACAGAAAATAAAAAGAAACAATATTTAAACAGTTTGTTAATGAAGAAATGAACATGATCTATGTAGCAACTTCAAAATGATTTAACTAAAAAAAAGTCAGCAGAGACAAAGAACATTTCCATCCTCACCAACAAAACTAACTACTATTTCAGGCAGGGATACCTTGCTGTACGGACTGTGACTGGGAGGAGGTGGGCTGGGAAGGGGATGAGGTTAACCACCAGAAAGACTGCCTGCCATCCATGGTTAATGAGTGTTTCCTCTCCTCTCGACTCTGAGGCCTCCCATGCTGAAAACGTTCAATATACCTGGAAATTCATTAATAGCACATTAGCTTCATTTGTTTTAGTAAATTACAAGATCTGTACTCTAAGCAACATCTGTGTAAAAAAATAATAATAAAAACACACGCTGGGCCATTAAAGCCCATACTATCAGACCTAACAACAGTTTTTAACCCAATGAGGTAACCAGGCTGAAGCAGGCACAAAAGGACTTGCACTATATACTATTTATCATCTTTGTACTTTTGCACATATGTATTGGTTATTTTGCACATATTGCTCACATTACATGCCGTCTTATTTTTTTGCACCGCTCAGAGAACTGCCAACTCAATTTCACTGCGCTGGCTTGTACAATGACAACAATAAAGAATCAAATTGGACATAAAATACTTTGCCAACACAGAATCCTCTTCAGTTTTGGCTGCGGCAAACACCTGGGGTGCTCCTGAGGGGACAGCCCCTGCCGGAGCCTCAGTTTCTGGGAAGGACTGCCGGTCAGTAGAAGGCCATGACTCAGAGAAGCTGGAATGCAGCCCCTTAGAGGGAGGGAGGCTATGGTGAAAACAACTGGATGCTGCAAGGGACTGCTGGTCTTCCTCACTGATTGAATCACTGCAGGGTAGAGGTGGGCTGGGTGCTTGAGGTAGACGTACTGGACTTAGGCTCTATAATAAGCAAACAGAAATAAGTGAACCATAATATAAATGAGACATTCAAAGACGTATAAATGAAGAAAATAACCATAATTTAATTTGTAACTGTTTAAATGTGCATAGCCTTTTTTGTACTACTGAGACTATTTCTTTCGTGTGTTACCGTTTTCTTCTGCTGCTTAGAAAGTTTCTGGATGAGAGAGGGGTTGTAATGAGTTTTGGGTAAGGCAGGATTTGTGGGGAATGGGTTCCTTTTGTTGAATATCGCACCACTGAGGAGAAAGATAGTAATCATCAAACAATGGGCAGAATTTCCTCATTGAATCATTAAATTTCACGAACCATTCTTACAGACAGTTCAAGGGCGTTATTACCTGGACTTCATAGCAGCTCAATTCAAGTCACCGATATGGCTCTTTGTTCACGCAATCTAAGTTTTAATAAAAACCAGAATTAAGACACATATGTCCAAAATAACAAAGAATAATATGACATACGCGTATATCATTATGCGAGTAACTGATCAGACATACATGTAAGACGAAAAAACGTCATACATAAAATCGCACAACGCTTCTCAGTTAAGTATAGTAATGAAATTGAAGAAATATGTTTTAGGGGAGTAACTAGCAGAATGCATGTCAAATACTTAAAGTTGCGCAAGTATTTGTCCCCAAACAATTACGTAATCACTTTAACTATAAAGCATATCACATGCCGCAGTATACAGTACCTATTTAAGAAACCAAATGGTGGCTGCATTCCGCTTTGTCCACTTTACAATAATCTCGTCTCCTTTTCCGTTCCTGTTGCAACTGCTACTAGCTAAACCGCGCCAAACTCAAAGTTGTGTGGTTGCCGAGCAACTAAAAGTAAAACCAACAAAAATATTTTACTTCTTTGATTTCCGCTAAAAAGTACCATTTAATCATGCACTACTAAATACACATTGAAAGAAAGCGTTAGAAAGGGCTAGTATTTTTATATCATATAGTCCGTTTTCATAGGTCGTCATGACTAGGATCATGGGAAATGTAGTATCAGTCAATGAAATTACGCAAGGAGGAGCATTGACCAATCTGAATACAGGAGTTTAGTGAGTGAAATTGCAGAACACCAATGATCTTAAGAGGTTGTCCCTTAATTCAACCAATAAACGAAAACTAATCCGATTGCGCGCGGAAGAGGAAAGTCCGTCGCAGGAGACAGGAGAGTAAACGTAGCTATTTATATGAACAAACATAAGTTTGATTCCCAGTGTTCACTAACAGTGTTGTTTAGGGTAGCGATTGCTTGATGTACACTTTTATAAACGAGGTCTATCTTTGTATGATGTACAATAAGCTGATATTAAGGTAGATTTCTGGTTGACATATTATATTTTTACAGAACCAGGTACGGTACCATCACCAGTTCGGTTCACTAGCAACTGGGAAGCTCGCTGCAATATTTTTGCTGACTTGTACGGTAAGTACGTTAGCCTTGTCAGTTAATAAGTATTTAAAGCCCAGCATTGGGAAGCGCGCTGTATAACAATTACTCTATTATTTTTGGTAGTTACCTGCTCTTGTTTGATGTCAATCCCGTAATGGCATGGTACCTAAATTTGTCATAACGGACTACTGACCTCGCTAGGCAATATTTATATAGCCACTATTATCGCAGGGACAGTAAACATATGGTTTGTATTTTACTGCTAGTTCGTGGTTGACTGATATTTTACATAAATGTTCAGAGGTAGACGTAATTAGTAAATATAGTAATGTTTATTTTATATATAGCGTGTTAATTTAACCAAGTATTCATTGTTAGCAAACCGTTGTAATCAGAAAGGGTAGTAAAGCGAATTGAATATCGGTTGAGTAGTTCCTTCTGTCCTCATGCATAGTCTTTTTTTTAATGCCATATTTCATGGATCTTTTCATTAGGTCATGGCTAACTAGCTAATATAGTCGACTTCATACTGCACTGCCTGAACAATTCGGGAGGGGGATTGATAAATATTTGAGTTTGACTCCTCTGCTTTATATGCGGTTTGTGACTGTTAGCTGTCTTCGATTTTCAAGAATGCTACACGTGAAAATCAAAGCAGAAAAGACAGGTAAGAGGATACGTTTTAACACCTGTACAAGGAGGATACGTTTTAACACCTGTACAAGGCCCAAAGAGCAAACGTACAGTGCTTGAATGTTACAGCATGTTTGTCTTCCCATGCTATGGAAGATGCAGAAACAACTGGAGCGCGGGGACGCCTGGACGCGGTGCTGCAAGGTCTTGTTGAAAAGAGTGATAGTGAGCGGTCAGTTTATACCTGTCTAATTGCTTTTGTTGACTGTACTCTGATTATATTCTCAAATACTTCACTTGTTGCTGTGGTGATCTCTTTCTGCCTTATATTATGTGTTCCAGAGAACAAAATGAAGATGATTCTGGAAAGATGGCAACAGATTCTCTGAGCAAGTATGATTCACTTTTTTATATATATAATATGTAAATTAAATGTTCTTTTCTTAAAATTATTCCAATGATAATAATCTATAAAATCATTATAATGTAAATGAGTGCCCTTGATTTAAGATTCATGCTTTTGCTAAATGTCAACATAAGATAACACAGCATAAATATGACATGACATAGATTTGTGCAGTATTTGAAAACTTGTGGTCTGCAGCACTCATAGCCTGTATACTAAACAGGTCAATTGCAAAGGAGCTCTAAAGTAACTGGGACTTTTGAAGATATCTACAAGTGGATTATAATGTTTCTTTACATTAGATTGAAATGTATTGGGTTTGGTGGTTTAAGGTCCGTCGCTGACCTCTCATTATTATAAAAAGTACCTTCACTGTAAAATGAAAGCCTGTCTTGGCTGATACCGATGTGTACTTCACAGAGATTTGTCTCCGTCTTCTGCTGGGAAGCGGTGAGTCAGTGATTTTTTTTGTGCATGGTCTTAGGTCTAATGTTCAATATTTGCCAGAAAATGATCATTTTAAACTTGTAGTTTTAACAAATGATCAATTTGGTTGATGTTACAGACCATCATCACGATTCCCACAGCATCGACGGAAGAAACGCAAGGAGATGGATGATGGGTTGTCGGAGAGCAACCAGCACAAGCAGAGTAAATGTCTTACTGAGTACAGCCAGTGTATAATAAGAATTGGGAGGTTTTGTGTGTAATTCTTCCCATCTACCCTTGAGATTCCTTTTATGTTGTTTTCCATTGTCCTCTGCCACATTTACCTCCTGCCACCAACCCTGCTTCGCTTACTCTCCATTATTCTGGAAGGTTCTGGCACCCCCCCCCCCCCCCCCCCCGCATGTTCTCTCTTCACTCAGATGCCTACATCATCAAGCTGTTTGACCGCAGTGTGGATCTGGCCCAGTTCAACACCAGCACCCCTCTTTATCCTATCTGCCGGGCCTGGATGCGGAATAACCCCACAGTCAGGGAGCGGGCAGCTTCCTCCAGTCCCTCTCACAGCCTTGGAGAGGAAGAAGAAAGTGCATTACTAATATATGTGCCAAACTTTGAACTGAGAATTAAACTGTATGGACTAAGATATTTCAATGCTAGATGGATCACATCATATTATGCTTTTCCAGTTGCATGATGAGGTTTTATTTTATTCCTTTTTCTGCACCTTAGGTTGTGGACATGCTCAATGGAAAGGGACAAAACGTGTATCGGCTGCCCCCACCTTCCCCCTCTCCTATTGGTCCCTCTGGGGAGCCTATCAACCTTCGTATCCCTCCTACAGAGAAATCCACTGCTGCCAAGGTAAAGGGTGTTATCTCAGATGATGATGTGGGTGGCCAGTTTATCTTTCTTGTTTGAAAGCAAATCAGCAGGATTAAAAAGTAATTCATTTCAGTGTTTAATTTTGTTGTCTTTTTACACTCTGAAGGACAATGAACACTTTACATAGCACTACAGAATAAACTACTTGGGTGAATGAAATGTATTCATTGGTTTTTGGTACTAGATGAAGCTCTCTTTTGTATTTATTTGTTCCAGCCATTTGATACTGTTCCTGTGTCCATACCCCTGGTATATAACCATATGGAACGATGGAAAAAAATTAGACAGAAGTAAGTTAATTCTAATTGTATAATCTTTAGTGTACTTGTATTACAGTAGCCATGCATTTTCATGAGAAAAATAAATGCATATTTGCAGTGTGTATGTATACAAATACATATTTGAGTGCATAATATATACATATCAGGGCATGTGAGCGGAGCGGAGCGTGAGCGAGGAGCGGAGCGGGCAGAATTTGGTCAGAGCACGGACCGGTTTTTTAATTAAGGCTGGAGCGGTCGCTTTGTCTCGCTCCAATTTCGCTCCGATACCGCTCACACTACAATTCTGAGGCGTGCCCAAATCTACCCAGAATTCATCTGTACAATTACACTGGGTTACAAAAAAATTTTTTTGT